TCATAAAATTCCACATAGAACTAGACTAAAAAATATAGCTCAGGTTTGGCACTCAATAAATATTAATTTATTTTTCTCCCTCCTTCTTCAACCATAAGTTGTCTCAATAAAATAATATGGGGTACTTACAAAAATACTTTTAAATTTAGGGATGTTTTGAAAAAAAATCAAATGAAAGATTTTTAGGAAATAAAAAATACTGTGTAAAATGAAAAAGTGACACAATGTCATTTTTTTATAAAAATTGTCACTTTTTTACTTTTTAAAAAAAATAAAAAGTGATAAAACTAAAAAAAAAATGACACGCGCTCTCAAAAAGTGATACGAACTTAAAAAAGTGACACGAACTCAAAAAAGTCAAAAATTGCAAAATAGCACCATCTTGTGCAGCACCAGTAATCATGTTCTTAAAATAATCAGCACGTTCAGGCCAATCCACGTGCTGATTATGTTAGGAAAATATAACATATTATTTCATTTTTTTTTATCTTCTTAAAAAGTGACAAAAACTTAAAAGGTGACAAAAAACTAAAAAAAAGTGACAAAATTTAAAAAAGTGACACGTGTCACTTTTATAAAATTGACAATGATATTTCTTGGCAAGTGATTGGTAATAACGTTCTGCCAAAGAGAGGTAGTCATTGTACAAGTCTTGAAGCAATGCAAGCAGCTGAGGCATTTTCTGATAGTAGGCATTGGCAATTTCTGCAAAACTATCAGCACTATCATCTTTAGGGATTTTCGATATAAACATCTTCATCCTCTCGTCCAAATCTGATAAAACCCATGTTATTTAATTAAATGATAATCTTGGCTTTATTTGTATAATTTTTGAAATTTGAATTCTAACTAGAACACTTTTTTTTTTTTTTCAAATAATTAACGTTCATTTACAATAATGGACCCCTAGCACATGTTCTGGGTATCAAACAGCAATGACAGAAATTGGCTCCATTTGACAATGAAATCAACTTAATTCATTTGAAAATTGAAATTCATTTGGAGCACTTAATTGAACACTTGATATGTGTAACGACCTGACCTCGCGCCGAAATCGTTATCTTACATATTGTCCGCTTTGGGAGGGCCTACGCCCATCTTACCCCTCACGGCTTTCTGATGGGTCCCCCAAGATTCGAACCCAAGACCTGCCTCAATTGGGAGACTTAAGTTGAATTCTAGTACCAATCCTGTGGGACGCGTCGAAAGCCGTGAGAGGTAAGATGGGCCTAGGCCCTCCCAAAGCGGATAGTACGTAACATAACGACTTCGGCGCAAGGTTGGGTTATTACAAAAAATGCGTGTTTTTTGTAACGACATGACCTTGTGCCGCAGCCGTTAGTTGCTCAATTGGTACCAGGATTCAATTTAAATCTCCCATATAATGGAGGTCTTGTATTCGAATCTTGGGGGACGCGTCAGAAATCCGTGAGGGGTAAGATGGGCCTAGACTCTCTCAAAGCGAACGGTACGTACGATATAATAACGGTTGCGGCGCAAAGTCGGGTCGTTATAATATGCACAGTATTTGAAATGAGTAAAAAAATTTCATGATTCTATGCTAAATCCAAATATTCCACAACCAATCTACAAAACCAACATCAACTACGC